AGGAGTTGGAGGTTGCTGTGAGCTGTAATGCCACGGCACTCTACCCAGGGGGACAGCTTGAGGCTCTGTCTCAAAAAAAAAAAAAAATTTAAACTTTTTAAGGCAGTTAGTAATATGTTTCTTGATCGAAATATCAGTTATATAGGTTTGTTCATTTGTGAGAATTTATCAAGCTCTTCACTTATGTCCACTTTTATGTATGTTACACATCCATAAAAAATTCTAATTGGCCTAAAACAAAAAAATACCTTAAAATACTTTATCATCAAATTTGGTGGGGATAATAAGATAAAAATAGACTATGGATTTTTAAAGGTTTATTTTTAAGTTTTAGATATTCTTAAGAATTTTATATGCTGGGGAATAATTCTTTTAAGTGCGTCTCATGGCCTATACTTACTTGCTACAGCGAGGGATTATAAGAACATAAATAAATTAAAATATTTACCTAAGGCTCAGCACCTGTAGCTCAGTGATTATGGCGCAAGCTACATATACTAGGGCTGGTGGGTTTGAACCCACCAGTCCAAGCCTGCTAAACAATGACAACTACAACAAAAAAAACAGCTGAGCGTTGTGGTGGGCGCTTATAGTCCCAGCTACTTGGGAGGCTGAGGCAAGAGAATCGCGTAAGCCAAGCATTTGAGGTTGCTGTGAGCTGTGACAGCACATCACCCTACTGAGGGTAACACAGTAAGAAAAATAAACAAACAAAAAACAAAATAAAAGGTTTATAAAACCCGGAATGTTTTATAAATTCCCAAATTTAACAATGATAGAACAATTATTACTAACCAGAACCCATATATAATCAAATTTCACAGTCTATTCTCTGTTTTTGGTGGGAGATAAAAGCCAAATTGGGCTCGGCGCCCACAGCACAGTGGTTACGGTGCTGGCCACCCGCACCAAGGGTGGTGGATTTGAACCCAGCCTGGGCCAACTAAACAACAATGATAACTGCAACAACAACAAAAAAATAGCTGGGCATTGTGGTGGGCACCCGTAGTCCCAACTACTTGGGAGGTTGAGGCAAGAGAATCATGTAAGCCCAGGAATTTGAGAGCTTTGACACCACAGCACTCTACCAAGGGTGACATAGTGAGACTCTGTTTCAAAAAAAAAAGGCCAAATCATAAAATTCATCATCTATGTCTCTCAAAGTTTTCTTTCCTTTTTTTTTTTTTTGAGACTGAGTCTCACTATGTTGCCCTTGGTAGAGTTGCCGTGGTGTCACAGCTCACTGCAACCTCAAACTCTTGGGCTTAAGCAATTCTCTTGCCTCAGCCTCCCAAGTAGCTGGGGCTATAGGCACCCACCACAATGCCCAGTTATTTTTTGTTGTTGTTGCAGTTGTCGTTGTTTAAAAGGCTCAGGCCAGGCTCAAACCTGCTAGCCTCGGTATATGTGACCAGCACCCTACTTACAGAGCTACGGGCACCAAGCCTCTCAAAGTTTTCTGTAAAAATAAAATCCAACCTGAAACTTCTAGTACCTATCATAAACAATACCTAAGATATTTTTTTTTTTTTT